ACTACAAGCTATCTGTATGCATGTGCATATGCATGGATAATGATTTGTCTTCTGGCTATTGAAACTCTCTGCATTTCCAATCTTTTCCAAACAGGTTGTGAGTTTTTTTTATGGAAGCTTTTTCATATACCTGTCTCTTTAAGATATGTTGGGGAAAAGGAGAGGGAATAAATTTTGAGGGATATAGGGGGAAATGTTGTTTTGTAGCCTCTTCAAGCAAATTCAATTCAGTTTATGGAACCCACTGATAAATGAGTTTTCACCAAGGGCTCCTTCGGGGGTGGGGGGGGGGGGGGGAGGCAGGGTTAATTTTCTCTGTTTCACTGAAAATAAATCAGAGGGAATGTTCTGCTTCATTCTTAAGATAGAGGTCTACAGTAAACTAGCTAACCATTTTCTTTGGATCCAGATTTTATTGCCTGCATGTGCATGAGCCCCCACTTTAATTTTGAAATGTTATCGGTCAGGAGTTGGAATGAGGGAATGGGAGGGGAGGGGGGCGGGGAGGGGGAGGGGGGAGGGGGGCATGTGTCCTACGCATCTGGCAATGTTAGGCATAAGTTAAAGGTAATACAAAGTTTTGGTATGGGGTCATGAATTTGGTTCAAATGAACATATTGGAAGCATAGACGATCCCACAATATTCAGTGATCGTTGTCGCGGATGAAATCGAGTCTAAAGTGATGAAATACTAAATAATAAACTCTTTATGTTTTAGCGCCTTCTCAAGGTCAATATATTAATTTAGCTATAAAACGATGTTCTTTGAATAAAATTGACCGATTTGCTATTACCGTTTGGAATATATATATCACAGCTACATATTCTGAGATTTTCATGGTCGCAGCTACCATCGTATGGTCGTAGGCACTATTTGAAATTTATCAACATTTACCGGGAGCACCGGTAAATTTGTATATTCAATTTTTCTCGAAAGCAGAAGTGTTTTAGGGGCTAATTTTTTGAGTGCTTATAATACATCCATAGGGGCATCCCGATATATCAAAATTGTAAAGAATCACTATCCAGCCAATTTTCAAAATTTACCAAAACTTTGTATTACCTTTAAGATTTCAAAGGCGAACATGTTAATGGAGAAAAAACAAACGGTATACCTCGGCATGGGTAAACCACAAACTACATTGCACAGTCCTATTGCGAGTTCAAGTGATAATTCATCTTACTATGTGGTGAGATGCGGCATATTCAGTTTAAACTCATTGAAATAAATGCTGGCAGGGTGGATAGAGAATTCACAGATTTTTAAAAGAGATAAATAATTACAGACTGTACATGTGGCATTCTTAGATCATGTGACGAATTCTCCCAATAAACTATAAGATTATCACTTTTTGTACCGTGCTTAAGACAAGAATACTTTCTCATTTTTTATGTTTTCATGGCATTGGTCCAATAACAGAACACAGATTCTTCAAGTTTATTCTTAAATAAAGAAATATGATAGTGTACTGATTTTTCAGGAAAAAAACTGTCTGCAAAGAACTGCAGGTTTTATGAGCTCCTATTTATTCATGAACTATCAAGAATTTTATGGACTTGCAGCATTGCTCATGACAGCCTTGTTTTGTCCATTTTCATTCCACTGCCACCAACTTTAGCAAATAGTTCTTCTTGAGGATAATTAAACAAAATTATCTCCTAAAAGCATGATTACAGGTACTATTTAAAATTTGGCTACAAAACTTACTGAAATGTTCAATTCTCTAGGAATTTGCAATAGAAAATCTGTGGATATTTCTTTAAAATATATAATCTATCAAAGGGGAAAGGTTAATGTTCATTTTTAATGACTAATAATGATAATTGTATTTGTATCACATTACAAATAGATGTAAGTGTTGTTGTTTTTTCTTTAATATGCAAGTGTTACATTTTAAGGAATTAGTATGAGAGGAATTGCTTCTGATTGAATTCTCTACCCGTGTCACATCCCATGTGACCTTACTTCCTATAATATTTTTTACCCTTTTGTCATCGTGCATTTTAAAAAAGAATAGTAAATTGATAAAACTATTATAACATCTAAAATGTTATGTACAGTGTACTTGTGTGTTAATTGCATTGCATTTCTCATAGGACATGACAAACCATGTCCATTGCTTTTCTTATGATGTAGTCTACTATTGTGCTATACATTAATTGTGTTTTAGGCCCGGCCCTCTCACTCGGGGGGCGGAGGGACCGCATCCGTTTTCCCAAAATGTCCGGTAAAGGGGTACTTTCCACGCACCAAAGTCCAGCTGGTAGTACACAAAAATCTGGCCCGTATTGACTTTACACACCGGACTTAGGGAGGTGTTTTCAAAAGGAGGGAACACGCATATGCGTACCCTAAATAACACTGAGTGGGGGGGGGGGGGAGGGGGGAGGGGGGGCCAGGGTTTTAGGACAAGTTATAAGCTCCAAGAGATAATAGGGAAAAATAAATTGACAACCTAATTGTACTTGCACTTCTGTATTGAACTATAGATTTGAAACAAAATGGCACCCATGACTATATGTCCTTCATTATGTACCAAATCAGCTGATATTGCAAATTCCCTTCAACTTTGAAGTAAGCGGCTATTCATTTTGCACCAATCCATCTAATTTCTTTTTTTTTAATACAATTTTCCTTTTAATTTTTGTCTTAAAAGTAAGAACTTTTGAGCCTTATGAAGTGTGATGATATTCAAGTTTTTAACTACTTTCTGTTAGTGTCCAACTCTGGATTTGCACATGTTATGTATGTACATGTAGTAAGAGGTATTAAAACTGGGAGCTGGACAGACACACTAGAATGATCACTTTCTACCAGAAACTTCCTGATTTGTTTCAAGTCCTTTGTTCCTTCTTATCAGTATCCCATCCACTCATTCTGGAAAGCAACACAAATATTGCTGCGGAGATAATGAAACTGAAAGTAGGCAAGCAAGCATCCGAGGTTCTGCACCTCCGCTGGCTGATTTCTCGGCCAAGCGCTATCCTGTATGCGTGCATCGTTCGAATGTACAAGCTCGAGAAGAACAAAGGACGACGCAGCTGTGAGATACAAACACGTTGTAGTCCACCAATCCTATTGATACGCCCCAGTGATATGATATGAATTGCCTTTCATTCTTTTCAAATCACTCACAGGATGATGTTGAAGCCGCGTAATTGGATACAATATTTATTGATCTAAAAGTTGATAATATATTTTTGCTTAACTCTTCGAAAGGTATTCTCAATAATTATGTTGAAAGGAAATTACGTTTATTACTAGTTAACAGCTGCTACTACTACTATTTCTAGTACTACTACCACTACTACATGTACCACTACTATTACTACTACTATTTCTACTACCACTATTACTACTACTACTACTACTACTACTACTACTACTACTACTACTACTACTACTACTACTACTACTACTACTACTACTACTACTACTACTACTACTACTACTACTACCATTACCACCACTACTACTACTACTACCAATACTACTACTACTACTACTACTACTACTACTACTACTACTACTACTACTACTACTACTACTACTACTACCACTACTACCACTACTACCACTACTACTACTACTACTTCTACTAATTACTTCTACTACTACTACTACTACTACTACTACTACTACTACTCCTACTACTACTACTACCACCACCACTACTTTTACTACCACTACTTCTACTACTGCTACCACCACTACCACTACTACTACTACTACTACTACTACTACTACTACTACTACTACTACTACTACTCCTCCTACTCCTACTTCTACTAAGTACTCCTACTATAACTACTATCACCACTTCTACCACAACCACCACTACTACTACAATAATACCAACTACTAGTACTACTACAGCTACTAAATATAATGTCTTCATTTCACATAATTCTGCACTGATTGGGCTGTCAAGACAAAACAAATGTAATGTACATATTTGAAAAGAAGCAGAAAATTCTAGGGTTTTCAAATTTGAAACATGCCCTTTCATTTCATGCAATCTTGTCTCACAATAGTCTGTAGATAAAAAGCCAAAAGTCATCATAAACGAGGCAATGTTGCGAACAATAGAACGATCGATTGGCACACTCTTTTCTTCTGTTCGAAAGCCCGATTCCAGTGATGAATTTCAGGATTGATTCCTCCTCGATAAAATTACTTGTTGTGGCAGAATCCCTTAACTTTGAATATTTCATGGATGAGATATCTGATTATTCAGTTTATAGGTAATGTTTTTTGTGTTGATGAATCTCAACCCCCCCCCCCCCCCCCACTCGTATAAAAAGAAAAAAGAAAAAGAAAATAGAAAGAGAGAGAGAATGGAAATTTCCTGAAGAAAAACTGTGTATTTGATGGGGAAAACAGATTCGTCCAGGGGGACAGATATTACCCCAACCTACATTTTATTGTCCTTTTATATCTATTTTTTTGCTGAATTCATGACATTTGCCAGTATTGTGTACTTATCACCTTTAAGTTCAAATAATTTTTCTTTTCTTTCTCATAAACATTTCTATTTCATTTTAGATGTTCCATTTTATCTCTATCACAAATAGTATCTGGGCCCCGTCTTAAAAAGAGTTGCAATTAATCTGAATGAATTGCAAGTTCTCAAATAAAATCGCAAGTTTGCAGTCTCCTATCTCATATGTACATCAATCGCAATTGTATACAAGATGGGGGCCCAGGTCTACCCAGAGTAACTGAGGGCACATCAATTTTTATTACCTGAAACTCTAACAGGTACCCATTTAATTCACCTAGGTTGAGAGGAGCTCATGTGTATCATGTAAGACACCTTGTCTCAGGATGTATGTAAACCCTGAGCAAGGATTGAACCCAGGACCTTCTGTATGAGAGTCAACAGCCTTCACCAATATACCTTTACCAAAGCGGTTTGTTAACTGAGAGATAATTTTCTATAACACAGAAAAATATATAATTCTTATTTGTTTTTCAACATTTTCTTCCCAAAATACAGGTGGATAACATAGAGGAAGCAGTGAAGACGGTGAAAGAGAACAACATCAGACCTCTGGGAAAGAAGCCCCGTATCGGCGCCCATGGCAAACCGGTCATGTTCCTGCACCCCAAGGACTGCGGAGGAGTCCTCATAGAATTGGAGGAGCAGTAGAGACTGTCAACATCTTGTGATGCTATGCCTTCCAAATCCAGGATTATCAAGATTGTGTTGCCTACACCAGGAGGGCAGGAGACCCATCAATAAGGACCTAAAAGGGAGATCATCTCAGGAGACAGATGTCACATAAGATTCACAGCCCAGGGGGTATTTCACAAAGATCCTAACTTAACTCTAAGTTGGACTTTCAAATTATGGAGAGCCATCTGTAGCCTTAAAATAAAATATATTCAAAAGCGAAAATTCAAGTATTTTAGACTTTTTATAAATTCCACATCAAGAATATGAAATCTCCTTGATAATAGAAAATATGAATGATTTGAATCAACATTCTATGCCTTTTAAAATAACTTTTACAAAAAAAAATTGTAGATGCTAATGGATTTCCATAAATGTTAAGTCCAACTTAGGATCTTTGTGAAACACCCCCCTGTTTATTCTGCTCATTGTTCTCATCACCATCAGTCACCTGAACACTCTGATGACTTTTCAGAAAGCATATGAGTCGGACATTGTCAGTTTCATGGGCTGTCTGCCTCATATGCTGTTGGTCCAGTGGGCTGTAGCCCTAGAAGGATGACTTGAACCCTTATGGACGGGTGATTCTACATTTGCTCTGGCGACAATTGCTTCAGGCTTTATTTCATCAATATATAGGGGTATGGTTAGGGTTGCAATTGGATTTTTAGGGGTAGGGTTAGGATGGAAGTTAGGAACTGTATTAGTGTAGGATATAGATGGCAGAGCAATTGTCGCCAGAGCACGAGTCGTTCAACCTTTGAAGGATGTCTTGGATGGTCGCATCTCTTGTGTTGTGCGATATGAAATTGAACACGAACAACATATCTGAACTTCTGTAAGAGGCTGACAGTCCTTCTGGCAGAATAAGCCATCTCTTCACTCTTTCACAGTGGCAAAGTTGTGGCAAAGATTCAGCACATACATGCATCATCTTTTGATTTTTATTAAACCATAAGTTATTTCACAAAATACACAGAAAGATCAAAACCAGTGCAAGTATTATGCGCCCTTGGCTGTACAAATGATTCTTTGTTGAATATGCAGATGTACATGTATAATACAATTATGTAAGAGAATGAAATAGCAACATTTGCAATGTGCAAATCTTCCTGAAGGTTACAGGTACTCAAACCATGATCTACACGTTTTAATGTTACATTGGCTTTAGCTGTGCTTCCATATAAGGATCTTGAAAGATAAAGTAGAGTTGTTAATTGCACAATTGCATTGTGAAAGAAACTCTGTTAAATCGGAAATGGTTGATTTTGTAGCTTAAGAATTGATGCATACTTTGCGGTATCGGAATCAAAATGATGAAAACTGGTTCACTCTTGCTGCAAGTCACATGATTTGTACACAGAAAGAGGTACATGGGACTACACCTACATGTGGTATTAAAGTTTGGTCCTAACACTTTAGACATTACTCGTCATATTTCAAATATGAGGACATTTGAAGAGCCATCCTTTTTGAGGGGACATCTTTTCTATAATATCCTTCCATAGTATTATAAAAAGAATTTTGAAAAATCTCACAAATTATTTTTTCCATACTCAACTTCCTCTTTAAAGGTACTATGTCCCATTTGCCGGCCAAAAAAATGAAAAAGTTAAATTCCAACTGCATTTGAAAGATAATACTAATTTAGAACTTTCCTAAAAAAGGTGGGGCTTGAAAATGTCTTCAAGTGGGAAAATAATGACTATAAGTTGTCAAATCGACTTTAGGGCTATAGAGCCCAAAAGTAATAGTCTTGATTTTCAGACAATTGTACCGAATGGTCATACGTTTTATGCTGCGCAAAGATCAATCAGTTTAATCTTGGCCATCACAAGAAGTGGGTTATTGATATAGACAAATGCTCATGTACCCTTTACAACTCTTTTCATGTATGTTATTACCAAAGAAGAAAAAAAAAGCCAGTCAGTCACTCAATAGTGTCTGACAGTGAAGTCTAGCAAGTAAACGGGTTTCCTTGCATAATTTGAATATGAGGACACTGCTAACGTTTAAATTTCACAGATAGGACATACGTGACATATTCATAATTCCTGCAAAGTTCTACAGCATTTGAGGTTGGCTGCAAAAGGGACATAGTACCTTTAAAGCAGAGGACAGGAGCTGCACTTGTCATTACACAGTACACATCTACAGATCTTACAATTATAATTCGTCTTTTTATTTACCCATTTTGCTATATATCATGTTGAGTGTATTGGCCATCTGTTTGCATGGACTTGTTTTCAATAAGTTGTGATGAATTAGTCATATTATTTTGGTCTTGTACCTTTCAAACAAAGGAGGATTCATAGGAATATACTGTTTGTTTGACAGGAAATAATGATATATTTGTTTTGGTAGATTGTTAATCTCTCAGGCTGGCTGAAAATTGGTTTTAACAATGGCATAAGGACTTGCAAACAGGTGTAATATGGATGCCGGTTTGCTTTTCCAAAAGATGGAGAAAAAAGAAAGAAAAAGATACATATATTTATGGGATAATTGCAAAAGCATCAAAGTGTTGTTTGAGACGCCTGGCTGAAATGCTCCCCAGGGAGTGGAGAATGTGCATACATTGTGTGCGGGTAAGCCTGAATCCTATGACCGGGGTAATAATATATATATCTGTAAAGCGCTTTGAGAGAGCCTTCGGTCCTGAAAAGCACTATATAAGAACTAGCTATTATTATTATTATTAATAAAGCTGTCTTAACATTATTTTCTATTATTGGTATGATGATGTCAAAGACATTGAAAGAGATATTTATATAACATCTTTTTGGAGCCAGAAGGGCATTAACTTGTATATGTTAATGCAGAGCTAATGACCCTCTGGCCCTGAACAGATAAACCTTCATGCATGTTTATGGTGTATGGATTCTCAATGAGTGTACTTTAACTTCAAATGTTAGCAATAAAAAAGAATGTTTTATGAATGACTGTAAATAAATTATTATTCACATGATTGTGTCTAAATGCTATTTCTGAAATGTATTTGTTGTGTGAGAATTGGCAAGGTTACTTGTGCTATTCAAAGTTTATTTGTAATTGTTTGATCATACAGTGCTTTCCAATATAGTTCTTGGGCCACTCACAAATAACCTCAATAACATTGTAGACAATTATGACTCCCTGACTGAAACCTTATGACAACTACCTCCAAACAATTATGATCCCCCATTCACGGATGGATTTAGGATTGTATTACAGTTTCAAAAATTGGGAAGGGGCAAAGTTTTGAAAAATCTTTGACAGGCATTTTCAGATACTTCTTTTGGTCTCAATTTTGAAAGGGAGTTGGGGTGCAAGAACACATTTTGGGGGCACATTGTATGTTAATTTTTTATCATTTAAAACAAAAATGCAAAATTGGGTTTTAAAAGGGTTTCATAGCCAGTTGTGCTCCCTCCCCTCCCCCCTCCCCCCATAATCCCATATCTGCCTGTATTTCTGCTGAACGGCAAACCCTATGACAAAATGTCAACAAGAGGTAGACAATATAGTTGTAACAGGTATGCAAAATTGGGTTTTAAAAGGGTTAGATAACCAGTAATGTGCTCCCTCCCCCCCCCCCCTCCAATATCTGCCTGTATTTCTGCTGAACGGCAAACCCTAGGACAAAATGTCAACAGAAGGTAGACAATATAGTTGTAACAGGTATCAGTTTGTACATAAATCCACCCCATTTCTACACATATTCATATCACAATCTCCAATGATCCATGGTAACTATATAAATGTACATAATTACATTTTCCAAGGGCAGTATACTCCACATATTAGGCATATGGAAATGTCATGGGACCCTGGAATGATAAAGAGCATGCTACCTGAGGAGCTTTTGGTAGTCTATGGAAGCTTGTTGTTTATCTGGAAAATGGAGTCAGCTGGATAGTAATGAATAATACATTGAAGTGGCGTCAAAGCTAGAGCCCAATGTATAAGCCACACACATACTCACGCACACAAACAAAAAGGAAAGGTTATATTACTTAGCTGTATTATATTTGACTTTGGTAAATTCATGTTGTGAAATTGACTAGGGCAATTTGAGCCAATAGACCATTACATTAATTTATTCAACTTTCAATTATTAATTTGAGTGGAAATGAAATATTACACTCATTTTAGTCAGGGATCTATTGAATGCTGGAAGGTGGGAATTATGGGGTGCATGTATAAATATGTTGTTGCAATCTCGGGCAAATCTCGGGCAAGTTTTGGGACCAATTTCTTGTGGAATGCGTTTGGGATGTGGAATAGTAAAATTACAGATGTCCGAACATGAAGGGAGATGCGGGGGAGGGCAGGGGGTGATAGCATCACTCGGTGGAGGAGAATGTCATTGAGTGAAGCGACCGAGGAAAGGAGGGGAGGGTCCGTGATCGGTGATCTACCTGTCATTGCACTCCCTTCATTTCTGCTTCTTCCTCTTCTTCTTCTTCTGCTTCTTCCTCTTCTTCTTCTTCTTCTCCTTCCTCTTCTTCTTCTTCTTCTTCTTCTTCTTCTTCTTCTTCTTCTTCTTCTTCTTCTTCTTCTTCTTCTTCTTCTTCTTCTTCTTCTTCTTCTTCTTCTTCTTCTTCCTTCTCTTCTCCCCTCTATCCTATATGTCTCCCTGTCCTGCTTTTATGTCATCAATTGGGGTACATGCCACCTCCACCACCACTACCACAACCACTTCGTAGCAACATAATTCAACTGGGAGAAGATATATCAAATAATGTTAAACATGAAATATCAAATAATATTGAAAATGCTTCTTTCTCAACTGATGTAGACTAAAAATGGCTAAACACAGTATTCTACCAAATTTACATTATTTCCAATTATGTATACATCTACGTAGCCCTATTACAAAATGAAAACGTATTCTTCAATATGATACTAATTATAGGCTCCCCCAAAACAATGAGACCCTATGATTTTCATTAAATATTCTCACTTTGCTATTCATTTTTATCACAACTAACTTGGATCACTTAGGTTAAATGGGTTTTTGTCAGTATGATTGGTTAGTCATCTAAAAAGCAATACTTTAGTGCAAAAGCCGCCTTTGAATTATTGATCACTTCTATAAATGAAAATTAATTTACATTTGCAACCTCGATCACTTAATATGTATACAAGGTCATTTCATAATGAATATGTTTTGGGGAGATCGGTATATTGAGTTTCCGTTTTACGACGGTATACTTTTGATGATAGATCGTGCTCGTTCTTTTAATTTTTTCTTTTAATTTGTGTAAATATTAATTCATGCATTCATTCGTTAATTCCTGATCTATTTATCAATTAATTTATCTATTGATTGATTGATTTATTCCTTTATTGTCTGTCTGTCTATCTAACTATATATCTATCTATCTGTCTGTCTACCTACCTACCTACCTATCTATCTATCTATCAATCTATCTTCCCACCTACATACTAACCTTCCTATACCTATCTATCTATCTATCTATCAATCTATCTTCCCACCTACATACTAACCTTCCTATACCTATCTATCTATCTATCTATCTATCTACCTACCTATCTATTTACGTTTTTATTGGGGGATCGAACTTTATTTCTAAAACGCTCGACGTTCCAATCGTATCACACAACATCTAGCGACTGTTCAAATCTTAATCATTTCATAATTTCAACAAATCATCGCTTTTATAAACATTTGATTGAAATACAACCCCGTTTCAAAGTCATGACTTTAATGAGAGCAGTGTTTCATGTAGCCATGGCAACGCAAAATGGGAGAATCGAGAACAATAGAACAGGAGTTGAGTGTTATTGGATAAATGAATGATTGCAAAGCTCACATGATTAAAACATTCATCAGTGGGGGTTCAGGATTCTTTCGCAGGGGAAGGGGAGAGGGGGGGGGGGGGAGTGCACAGGTTCGATTACGCGGGAGAATGAATAAATCAGGTGCCTTCTCGGTTATTTAAATTTTTGCCGGGGGACGGGGCGACCTGTAATTTATGAATGTATTCATTTATTTCCCTCGCTATTTACAGTAACATCCCATAACAATCAAACTTAAAATTCATCGTAGCAATCAACATTATTATAATTATAGAATGAATGCACCCTTATTAACTAGTTCAGTTGGGTACTTGCGAAATAATAAAGGGCGTCGATTCAAGGGAGGTAAAGTAACCTCTATCATTATACTAATCACGGTATGTCAAGAAACTGATCCCAAAATGAAAGGTGTTCTAAATGCCCCTGTGATCTAATTTGATGTATAGACTAAACCGGTCTCGAGTTCATATGAGAAGGGGGTCACATAGTGACTATTTATAACTGATTGAATTGATTTGGTTAAGAGCTGATTCACTGATCTAGATACAGGATCGAGGGGATGTTTAACCTTAAGATGCCCCCTTCCCGAGTGAGTTGGTAAAAAATAACAAGGAAGTAACCATTAAGGGGAAAGGAATTGAAAAGAAAACAATAGGACCCCTCCCACTAAAAATGCTCTTCCTTGGAATCGGAGGTCTTTTAATTACATCCACCTACTTAAACAGGTGCCCCTCCCCAAAACACAAGACCCACCCCCCCCCCCCTCCCCTCACCTCAAACTCAAAAGGGTGGAATAATTCTACGCCACTGTCTATACCCCTCCATATACGATTTGAAGTGGAAGGTTTTCTATAGGTACATGTTTGTAATTTATTTACAGAATCTTGCGCTCTCTTTGTAGTCATAACTATGATAATCGGTCGGTCAGTGAACATCAAACTGGAACACGGCAACTCTTAATTCACCACTGCACTACTTATAGCTACTTGCGCCCTCTATATAGCAAACAATGCCTAATCGGTGACCATTGGTCCCACATGATCCTCTTTTTCTTATGTTAATTGAGAGCTGATTTGATGAGATAACCACCTGTCAGTGACCTTGCATGGTGGTCTTATCCCTCCATGCCAAACTAGTGCAGAGGGACTTTAGATGATGATGTAATCAGCGCCTTGTACTATATAAATCCAATTATTATTATTATTATTAATCCGAACTTGATTTCTATGGGATAGGGTATTGAAATTGCTCCTTGAGTTGATTTCTCGAAAGTCTCTACGATCTTGTTCTGTATTGGTCACATTTCCCACACTGCATTTGCCATGCACAGTCGAGTTTTCTACGTTCAACTAAAATGTTGGTAATTGAATCGGATAATGGGTAATCGGGCAATATAAAAAATAAAAACTTGGTCATGCGAAGGGGTCGCTAACGAAGTCCCCAAAACGACCTCGCACCATTTCTTTCTGCGTGATGCGAATTTGGCTTTCACCAACTGACCATTGCCGTACTGTTTGTCCTCGGCCAAAGTTATTGCTTCTGATAGTTTGTTGTGAATAGTGCGCTTCGGGTCACTGAGTTGATTGCTGAAAAAATAGTAATTGACTTCTTGTAATTAAGTGAATCCACTGAAAGGAGCACGTATATAGAGTACACCGAGCATGCACGCCATATTGTGATTTCTGCTAGTTGCCAGATATAAATATATAGCCCCCACCCCTCTCACT